GCGGACTTCAACTCCCAGAGTTCCCCAGCCAGCCTTGGGGAGTTGAAGTCCGCCCGTCTTAAAGTCGCCAAGGTGGAGGAACCCTGCCCTGGATACCGCTGACAGGTGACCATCCCGCCTCTGTTAAGAGTCCTCTAGCAAAGGAGGATCCACGGCTGCGTGAGGCAGCTTGTTCTGCTGGCTGGCAGCTCGCACAGTCCGAAGCCCCCTCCTGACGTCTAGCCCCCACATCCTTCCTTGTGAGTTTAGCCCACTCGATCTGGCCCTGTCCTCTGGGCAATCCAGAACAAGTCCATTCCCTCTTCTGTGAGCAACGGCCCTTCAGGCGTGTGGAGAGCGCTGTCATCTCTCCCCCCAGCCGCCTCTCTTCCTTAACTGTCTCCCGTGGGGCTTCCGGACCCTCACCCTCTTCACAACCATCCTCTGCCCCGTCTGCCATTTCTGAACTGTGTTCTCCTGAACTGGATACAGCATTCCAAGTGGATCGATTTCTTGCCCTGATCTGGACCAGGCACCTGTGAATGAACGCCAGAGAACATTCCCTTTTTAGCTGCTGTGTCACGCTGCTAGCTCATGGTCAACGAGGACACCCAGGTCCCTTTCGCATGGACCGCTTCCAAGCCAAGGCAGCTCCATTCTATGCTTTGCCTTCCATGTTTCGATAGAATACATAATGCCACGAGGGATATGCATCAATGCATTGAAGACCAGAGGGGTTGTGTCTGACAACGAAGTTTTGCAGGTTTTATACAAATGGGGAAAAACAAGAGCAATTAATACCTTGGTACGATGTTTACTAAGGATGGGGAAATAGATGGAGAAATCACCAGAATTTCATTCCTACCAACACAGGTAACAATATAGCGTGGAGTACATGCTCTGATGAGAGGTATAAATGTTTATTTTAAAAAAGCAGAACGGGCTGGGTATAAGAGCATACTTGTGTCTCCTTGGAAGAGAGAGCTGGGTACGTCCAGGAAAACATGGGTTGGGGTTAGTGGAGTAAAACAAGAAAAAGGAGGGGGCGCTGAAGGAATGTGGGTTGAATCGACGGATTATGGGCCATCAAGTCTGTTTTGACTCTCAGTGACCACAGAGATAAGTTGTCTCCAGAGGACCTGTTCTCAGCCTGGTTCTTCAGGTCTTCCAACGGTGCCCCCATCGCCACTGAACTGCACGGACTGAATGCCAAAGTGTAAAAAGTACATTTGTGGTGATTTGATTACTTTGAGAGAATGAAATGAAGATCAAACTGCAAAACAAAAATATGAAGGGAGAATAAATAGGTAGAGAAGAAGGAGAGGCAGAGGAAATGGTGGTTTAATGGAGTTGATGAGATCCTGAAAAAGCAAGAGGTGAGAAGTCTGAAGAACGAATGGCCGTATATGAGGCGCAGGATGGACGGGGTGGAAGAAAGATGGTTTGCAAGGGTAAAAAAGTGCGGAGAGGGATCCTGAGTGGGGCAGGTGTGAACTAGAGGCACCTTTTCCTCTCATCTTTGCTTCTCACCCCACGCCTTTAACTTCTGTGGCTCATCCAAAGGATGGGTGGAGGGATGGACTCGCTTGGCACCGCCTCAAGCCCTCTTGGCACAGAATGGGGCTGATGTTCATCTTGGCTTCTGTTTGCAAAACACATTTCATCTGAATTTTCCAATGTCAAAAGATCTCATTTCATGCTTCAAACACTGTCCACATCCAGGAGATAATTCAGGCACAAATCTCTTTTGGGTGGCCTGTTTGAAACTCAGGGCAAGGTTCTGAAGCTGGGTTGTTAGTCTATTTGGCCTCCTCCTGACCCGCAGGGGCAGCTGAGCCCAGGGGTGAGTAGATGTCCCTCGCTGTGGCAGGACCCCTCTTTCATGCTCCTCCTTGGGTGGCCCCCATGTGATCCTGCTCCTTCCGGACCTCTCGGCTGATTCATCTCCATCTTCCTCAGAGATGGATGCCACCAGGCTGCTGAGAACTCTGGACCAAGTCCTGTTGAGAAATGGGTGGCTTTTCCCTGGAAAGAGAAGTTTCTAGAGAGGCAGGAAAGCAGCCTTCCGGTGTTTGAAGAGATGGAGCAGACGGCAGGGTTGAAATGTCACCCAGAGCTTGAAACAGCAGGGAAGCAGATTTTTGAAAAAAACCCAGGAGCTTGAGGGGGTGAAGGGTTCTGCTCATGGAGATATTTTATTGGAGCCTGGACAGTCCTCTCTCAAACAGTCAGGATGCTCTGGGTGGACTCTGTGTCACAGAGATGGGTGGGGGTGGCCTCCATAGGCCCTCTGAATCTTGGGGGCCTGCGTGGGTCTGATGTTCCTCTATTAGCCCTCCCAAATAAATGGGTCATTTAGCCTGTAGGCTGAATACATGTTGAAGGAAGGTGGTTGAGAAGAAGGGGAGCATGGTTGCAAAACTGGAGGAAGAAACAGCAATAAACTGAGCTATGCTGATGACACTACCCTGATAGCCGAAAATGCAGAGGATCGGCAAGCTCTAGTAGTAAAAGTCAAGGGGCACAGTGAAGAAATGGAACTAAAATTAAATATAAAGAAGAGCAAACTAATGGCAACAGGTAGAACAACCAGCCTTAGAAAGGACAGTTAAGATATTAAAGTGGTGGGGAGCTTCTGCCTTTCAGGATCCACCATCAACAGTAAAGGAACAAGCGGTCAAGAAATACGCCGTAAACTGGCATTGATAGAGCAGCCATGAAGGCCTTGGAAAAGATATTCAAATTTATTTATTTATTCTTAAACTTGTACGCCGCCCATCTCCCCCAACGGGTGACTCTGGGCGGCTCACAATAACAAAAAAGGAAAAAAAGCCAATCCCTCCAACAATGGCTAAAATCCATAAATAATTAAAAATAGAAACATACATTAAAAATCCTAACCCCCCCCCCCCTTGTTTTTTTTATGTCATAATCCAAAAAAATATGG